AAAAAAAAAAAAAAGATAATTTCACTTACCTTCCTTTTCTCTGCATTTCACGTCTTTTCGCAACCTCGTGTTCAGGAATGACAGCCACAAACAATTTACGTCCATGAAAAACCGTTGAAAGTGTATAGTGTGGATGATGCATCTTACTTAACATTCCCCGCAATCTCTCCAAACGACTATCTATCGTTGTAGGCATTAATTTCCCTCCTGATCTCCACTGTTGTGGCTGTAAAATACTGCGGGCCCGACCACCTGCTGTAGTGAATACACGATGGAAGTCCGCATCATCTACAAGTGTTTCATCCATAGAAACATCTTCCATTATGTTTCTTTCACTCTTTGAGTGTATGGATATATCGTTAGGTTGTGGATTTCCCTTACAGGTGTTTATAGAAGAAATATTATCGGATAATGTTTGCTCTGATGATGATGATGATGATGATGATGATAAAATAGATGGTGTTGTTTCTCTTGTTGTTTTCATATCTCTGTTGGTCTCATTTCCTTCGGGGTACGCCTTTATATGATGTACGGGTTTGTTTTTATGTTTATCCTCTTCCTCTATCTCTTCATTATCATTATCATCATTATCATCATCCACTACTTCACGAGCAGCGAGGAGTGCCACTTCCAAGTCCTGTGCACGAGCAGAGATTGTGTAAATACCATTATCAATAATCATTAAAGATTAAATATTAGTTAATTGCGGTAAAAGATAACCATTACATCCTTTCCATGGTCCTTCTAATGGTTCCTTCTTTAATTCTCTTACCCCATCACCAGCCATATGGGCATGAAAGGCCATACATTGAGATAACATAAAAGGCATCACTTCTTCTATTAATTCCAGTACATTGGATAAGGACTCTGGAATAATATCTTGATATTCAGTTGATTCTCCTTCTACAATAAGATTAGATAATAATGATTTTGATGAATCTGTATATCCATCTTCTACAAAAACACCACCACGTCATCCTGTAACCTTTTCTAAATATTTATTAAGATAAGGATATTTTTGTACGATAAAAGATGCCGGTGGGTCATCCATTAAAAAATAAGCAGAAAAGGTTGATCCAAGGGCTACATCTGCCAATGTAGGATGTGGAGTACCAAGTAGAAATAAAGAAAATGAATTTCCTCCTTTTTCTTTTTCTTCTAGTTGTTTAAAGTGAGTATCCAATGAAGTGCAGAGACGTTTAAAGTGTTCCTGCATATACGGTGCTGTCTCTACAGATACTCCGGAAACGGATGTGAGTTTCTGCATTGCCTGCCGAAAGGGTCCGGCAATGGCCCGTGAGAGTCCCACACCGGGAAGAAGAAAGAAATAACGAATATATCCATCAATGATATCCACACTATCCCCAACAATCCATCTATACATGGCACCCGTCTTCGCAAGCCACCAAGAGGAATAAAGAACAATAATCCAATTAACTAAATGTAATCGTGGGTAATGGGATCGAGGAGGACAAAAAGATATTGGTCTTTTTAGTTTATTGAAAGAGTCTACATTTTTTAAACTTTCAGAGTGGTTTGGAGACTCTAATCCTAATGATATTCCTCCCTCCACGGCGTTTACTAATTGCCATAATTGTAAATGTGAATGGCCTTGTGGGTCTAATGTACAGAAGGCGCAACGAGCACGTAAGAGAAAAGCGTAAAGAAGTGTTGTTGTGAAAGTGTGGCAATACACTTTAAAAGGAAGACGTTGAAGACGAAGATACGTTACGTGTTGATGGAGTACCAATGTGTATGGTGAGCCTAATACACGAAACATTAATGTAGACTTTTTTTTGTCTTCTTAATGTTGAGATTGTTTTTTTATTATTAATCTTTTTTTTTTTTTTGTATATATATATATATATATGTGAATATGGGTGTGTATGTGATTATTTATGTGTTGTTGTCTCTAATAAAAAGACCAGCACTTACAAGAAATTAAAAAAAAAGGAGAAAACAAGCGATAATATATAATAACAAGAATAAAAAAAAAACATCTAAAATAAGTGTAAACAATCAAAACCAAATAAAAAAAAAAAGAGAGACCTCTCTTAGATCCAATGTATTTTTTTTTTTCTCTTTTTTTTGAGTGTATGCATGTGTTTTGGTGGTTGACTATTCATCATCTCTAGTCATTTAGGGGTCTCAAGCGCAAATCGCCCCCTTTTCTTTTCCCCCACCTCATTCACTCACACACTAATCAGCAACTTTTTTTTTTTCTTCCCTTCTCCATCTTTATTTCCTTCTTCTCAGATACTTTATATATATATACAGATGGTAGAGAGAAGGGTATACACACTTGTGCATTTACACTTTCTCCTCAAACATCATTCTCATCCACATCTGGTGGTTCGGGTATATCTTCACCGAGAATCCAATTCGCTCGTCGCAGTAACTTCAATAGAGCGACTACAGAAGATAACTGATCCACCCGCACATCATTCGGTAATAACAGCTGTACTCCATCTATAAGTGCCTTCGCATCTAAATACAATTGTACTGTCATCTTATCTCTATCAGAGGCAGTCTCTGATCTAGGCCGCATAGCTGTATTAGTATTATTACCACCACTATTCATATTAGTAGGATTTGTACTAGTTGTAGGACTACTCACCCCAAGTGTATCTCCTCCCATGGCATCTGTAGATACTCCACGTCCTCCTCCCGCTGTAATTTCTTTACGTCGTCGTAACTTCTCCCAACTTTCTTCTGTTTTCTTTGCCGTGATGAGTGTTTCCTTCGCAATTGAGCGAAACCGACCACACACTTCTTCCACTACCGCCACCATCATAGCGGTGTGAGATTTGGGAGTGAGCACCGATCGGGCAGCGGCATCAAATCGCTGCAGCGGTTCAATAATAGTGGGAACATACCAAGAAGCTGCGGTTGGGAGTGGCTTACGCATATGTGAATAGGCCGACTTGACAGAACGAATATTTTGTAAACCAACTGTACACTCCTCCGCTACTCGTAATTGAACAACACGATAGAGGGCAGTCGCACAACCACGGCAGGTCTCTTGTGATAATAACATTAAAACCGGAGATGAAGTTTCAAATTCCTTTCCACTTGCTTCTTGTAATCGAATACGAAAAGGACCTTCAATATATATTGCCATCATCTCAAGATCGGCACTTGCACTCATCACGACACTAAGCCAATTCTCCATGGAACTTGAACTCTGTGCCGTTTCACTATACGCCAGTACACTTTGGGCAACTCGACGGGTCGCATTAGCCGTCTCCCGAAGAAACTTTGGAGTTACGGTGTAAATATAAACTCCAGGAGAGAAGAGCCAATCTAAGGCTTCTCTTAATTTAATAAAAGGTTCCATGTGAAAATGAATAGAGTTACCCATATGAATTTCTTTTCGCTCTGCTGCTTCTTCTCGTTGTTGTTGTACTAGTTGTTGTGCTAGTTGTTCCAAAGGTATGGAAGTCCAATTTTTAGTTGTTTCATCTACAATCTTAGCAAGTTCATTAGCCCGCATAGTAGCATACACATCTGTATTCCATTTATGTTTCCAAAGGGCCACATCTGGGGATTGCATAAGTGTTCGTAATTCCTCTGCGGAACTACAATTCTCTTCCATTAATGTTAATAATTTATGAGCCGTCAAATATCGTTGTTGAAAGGCATCCGGCATCCCTACATCATATAATGATACCATCTTCTTTACTAATGCCTCACATACTGTTGGCCAAATAATCATTGAAACTGGCATAATAGATCCTTCAAAGGCTTCATGTAAAATAGGAACAAATCGAAGAACATTAGTTTCCAATTCTTCTCTTAATGTGTTGAGAAGTTTAATAGTATCTTCTAAACTATGTCTTGCCTGTGTGGCTGCCCGCCAAGAGAGAACAGATTCTAATAAAGGTTTTATAATACGTTCACGGTACATTCGACAGAATTCCCGTTCTTCCCTTGCTGTATAATAAACCTTCATAACGGTACGTAATGTTTGTGTAAGTTCTTCTTGTGGATTTTGAATGTAATCTTCATACAGGGAAAGGTAAACACGTTCAAATACTTGATGAGATAACCGAGTACCATCCGAAAGAATCTCCATCGCCTCTTCTCGTTCCTTTGCACGTGAAGAGAGTTGTGGAAGTACATGAAAAAGATCTTTTAATTGTTGTAATGTTACCGCAATATCAAGAAGTAATTCACAAACATGTTTACTTCCCGCTGCTAATGCTATTGCTTTTGGTGTAAATCGACTATTTGAATAAGTGGAGTTTATTCCATGTGAATGAAGTTGAAGTGGTGATAGTGGTGATTGTTTATCATCGTTAGATGTACGAAGACATAAAGGAAGTGTCTCTAATCGTTCATGAAGTAAATCATACAAAAGTAAAAATTTTAAAAAACTCACATCAAACAATCGAGCCAATTCAATTTTAGAAGCCTCTAGAATTTGACTATTTACCATTTCTTCTAATTCCTCCAGCTTAGACATGGCATTTTCCACTTTCTTTACAGAAGCCAATACGGGTTGTTGAACACATCTTAACTCATCCTGCATACCTACAAGATGTCCAGAGACCTTTACAAAGGCATCATGCATATCTGTATTCACATGCCGGAGAATACTATTATTAAGAAAAGTCGTATAAGTTTCTAAATCTCGGCATAAACTTAATAATGGAACTCCATGATCTAATTTCTCCTGTACAAACTTCACAGGATCAAAGTCAAAGGCAACTAAATCTCCATTCAGATCTTCTTCCTTACTACTAATATTATTATTATTATTATTATTATTATTATTATTATTATTATTATCCATATTTGGTTGGGAATCCTCCACTATATCACTATCCAGGGCCACACCAAACTCATGTTCACCAAAACATAATTGAATGAGTTTCAACTGCTCAACATCCACAGCAGCAGCAGTAGTAGTGTTCACATCTACACTTGCAACTCCATCCTCATTGTTGTTATTATTATTCATATTGTTGCGTTGATCGTTGTATGGATCTCCCTCATCATACTTTAACATGAGTAAAAAAGAAGGGGGGACTTTTTTTTTTTTTCTTCTTCTTCTTCTTCTTCTTCTTCTTCCGGTTAAATCTAATGGAACTTCCTCAATGGTTATTTGAAAGCAGCAATAATACCCCAACCAAAATAGGAAGAGCAATAAAAAAAGAAAAGGAAAAAAAAATAAGAAATAAATCACAGAAGAAGAAATTATTTTATTTTTGCTGCCCCACACACATCAAGCCTGCAAGCATGAGTACTATATAAATATGTATGTATGTATATATATCAATGTGAAGAAACCAAAAAAAAAAAGATTAAAAAAAAAAAGCAAGAAAATAACGGAGGAACAAAAACAATGCAATAACAGGTAATGCATGTTTGTCTCTCTCGCAATTACAAATTATTCTTCTTTTCTAACTTCTTTTTTTTTCGTTTTTCTTTTCCTGTTTTTTTTTCTCCTGTTTTTTTTTTTTTTTCTTCCTTTTCCCCACCTTTTTTTTTATACGCGCCGTACACATCACACAATTCCACTCCACAACTCCACAACACATTCTCTTCCATTCCTCAATCCCTCAAAATCCTAAACATTCAATATATATATATATATATATATATACATCTCTGCATATCCCCATCATCATCATCATCCCTCTTCCGTAATATTCATAGTATTAGTATTACTATTATTAATACTACCCGCCGCTTCTGCTATTCGTTTCATGTGTTCTGCCTTTGCCGTTCCATCCTCTACGGCTTTCATAAATGCCAATCGTGCCGTGTGGTGTTGTTCCTCGCGCAGCCAAGTGAGATTCCCACGGGTGTCCTTCTCTCGACTGCGTGGTGTGTACACTGCCTTTCCAAACTGCCAATCCAAATGATGCATTCGCTCCCACTCCTGCAATAAAACATCTCTTGTATCTTCCGGTAAGGCGTGAATAAATCCAAATTCCGGTTGAACTTCACATGATTGCATAACTGCTAATGCCGCTGGTGTAATAGTAGTAGAGGGTTGTGATCTTATTGGCATTGGTCGGGCGGCAGTAACATGAGTGAGAATAAAGTCTATAATATGAGAAACACTACGTAATTCTTTACGATCGGTAGAAGTTGGGGTGAGGCGAAAGAGACTTTCCACCACTTGTTGAATAACACGTTCTCGTAGAGTTTCCTCCTCAAATACAAAGTTTTCAATAATACGAGGTTCTGGTAAAGATGTGAGTGGATTTCCTTCAAAGTCTAATCGTCGTAATTCATATCCATCTCGTTGAGTTTCTGTAAATATCACTTCTGTTAATTTCCCCATGAGATATTCTCGAATTTCCTCATTACTCATACTTAATACCACCTCTGCAAACTCATCATCCCACGTAGATGGTCTAAATCCCATTGGTGTTGGGAATCTATAATCACTTTCTTCTCCTCCTTCTGTTTTTCTTGTAGGGATATTTGGAAGCCATGGGTATTGTGTATGCCACCACTGCCAGGCAAAGGGAGAAGTCCCACGAGTGAGACCAACACCTTCAGGATTAAAACGATCTTTAAATGGTAATTGTCGATGGGATTGGGATTGACCCCATCTACTGCGAATACCTTGTGCCTGTCGTTGCCAGCGGGTTAATTCGCGGTATTTGTGCATATGCGGACGGGCACGGCGCAAGACATTATGATGTCGTGATTTGCGCAAGAGAGGTGAGATGTGAATCATACCGCTCATTTATTTAGACTCGTTATCTTTTTTATTGGTTTTTTTTTCTTTCTTTTCCTTTCCTTTTTTTTTCTGTCTGTATACTGTATTTCTTTTATATATATATATATATATATATATATATATATATATGGATGGATAGGTTAAAAAGAAAAGAAAAATAAAATAAAGAAAGCAAGTTATCGTGTAAGAGATAGGGAAAGAGAAAAAAAAACGAGAGAGAACGAGTCTGTGTGGAAAATATTAACAATAAGCATAGCCGTGTACGATAAACGAAATGTGAGTACATAAAGAGAAAAAGAAAGAAAAGGTGATTGTAATAGAAAAAAAGAAAGTGAGGAATAAACAAATAAATTTGATAGATAGATAAATAGATAGATAGAGAGATGTACAACAGTGGAAGAACTAGAAAGAAAAATAAAATAAGAGGGGAGAGTGGAAAAAGGAAGAGCGAAAACGAGAAAAAGGATGAGGTAAAACAAATGATAATGTTTTTTTTTTTTCCTTTTTTTTCCTTTTTTCACGTTTTCGCTCTTCCTTTTTCCACTCCTCCATATTATTTTCCTTCACTTTAAGTATTCTGTTCTTTAATCCGATGGTAAAACGTAAACATAAGAGTAGACTAAAAACAATAGATAAGATAATTCCTACTTCTTTTCCTTTATTCTTTTGTATTAAATATAAATATATATATATATATATATATATTTAACTTTTCTTCTTTTCTCTTTTTCCTTTTTTTCTTTTTTTTTAAACATTGGAGTTACTGTTCATTTCTTTGTATTTTTTTTTTTTTTATTATTATCATTATTAGTGTTTTTTTTCTATTTTTTTTTTTTCATTCTTTTCTTCTTTTCCTTCTTTCCCTTCCTTCCTCTATATTCTTTTTTAATTATTCTTTCCATTTGCGAATTATTTTTTTTTTTTCATTTTCGTTTCCGTTTTATTATTCCTTCTTTTCTTTCTTTCATTCATTCATTCATCTTCATAAGGGCTTCTTCTCCTGCCGTGTTCCCTTCACACGGAACCATATATATATTCATCCACAACATTCACAATAATAACAACAGTAATAATAATAATAATATTATTATTATTATTATTATTATTATTATTATTATTATTATTATTATTATTAATAGGTAGAAGCAGCAAGAAGGAAACAATGGAAAGGAATAATAAGTACGAGAAGTGTATAGAGTTCATTAAGTGTTATCAAGAAAGAATTTTTTTTTTAAAAAAAAGAGGGGGTCAAAACACCAAAAATAAACAAAGAAAAAAAGAAAACATAATTTATTTCATCTATTAAACAATATACTTCACTGCAGATATTTTTCTGTTATCGTTTGAATTGCTTTTTTTTTTCTCTTTGTTTCCTCCCCCCAACCTCTTTTTTTCCTTCTATTCTTGTTTTTCTATATATATATATATATATATATATATATATATACTTCTCGCTTATGGCCTATCTCTCTTTCCTTCCTTCCATTCCCATGTTTCCCCCATTGCTGCTCTTCTGCTGTTATTCATTTTTGTTTACTCTGCGCCTCTCTCTTCTTTAGCGGTCTCTCTATTCAATCACCCCATCATCCACCTATACACACCAATACACCAATACACACACATTAATACAAAGAAGGAAAGAAAAATAGAAAGAATGAAAAGAGGAATCAATGAAGAATAAATGAAAAAAAAAAAAGAAAAACAAACACTCACACTCACACTCACACAGACATATATATATATATATATTCCTTACGGATATAGCTGTGCGAGTTCCTCTAACAAGGCACGCATTTTCTGATTAGACTCATTTGCCTCTCTCCACACGCGGAGTTCCTCTTCTGTGAAGATCCCCTCACGCACCATCGCCGCCACAAAGTCTGGTAAAATATTCCTCATAAATGAACCAAGCCGCAGTGAACCCACCGCATCCATCACTGCAGAAACAGTAACATTATCACCTGGTCTCCTTACAGTAGCGGCAAGAGAATCCCAGACAAGAATAAAGTCTTCTTCCCATTCATCTGTACAGTCGTATACCACCATTAAGGCATCCAAATAGTTAGCGGTGCGAGCCATTACATCTCGGGCCACACTGACAATATCCAATTCAGGTACGGCAACTACAACATCCATAAAATAGGCGTAAATATTTGGACAATCACTTACATCACGATCGGCGATGATCTTCGTCAAACACCAGGCAATACCTCGGCAGAGAATACTGCGTTCCCACTCCCCCTTTGATAAGGCAGTGGCAAAGAGTTTACGTTCACTTTCCTTTGTATCCATAAGCGCACGAAGGAGAATTACATAAACACTGGCCATACAACTTTGATTTTCACTTTCATTTGGTCCTAGTACCTTTGCGAGTTCCTCACGCATCCATTCACGATTGGTCATTCCCTCCTCCACAGCATCACGAGCAATACGTGTAATTTTACACCGCACCTCATTTGTAAGAGACTCTGGTGGTTGTGCAAGAGCCACCAATTTCCTCTCATCTAGTGAAAGTTGATCTTCACCGGATGTATAAGAAGACTGCGGTGGAGGAGGCGGAGGCGGCGGTGGGGGCATTGGATAACTTCCGTATCCCGCCAGGTCTGAATAACTGGTGGCCCGGCGAGCAGCAGCACCAAAGGAACTGGATACATCCTGATAACTGGTGGCTCTTCTCCCTATTGGTGGTGGAAGTTGATCGTTATTTCGATTATTATTATTATGATGTTGAGATTGCTGCTGATGATGCGAATGATGATGATGATATTGATTATTATTATTATTATTATTATTATTATTATTATTATTATTATTATTGTTATTGTTGTTATTGTTATTACTGTTGTTATTATGATGATGATTATTATTATTACTGTTATTATGATGTTGTTGTTGTTGAGATAATGGTGGTGGTGGAGGAACCTGTCGTGCTTCTGCAGAGATATTGGCTTCCGATTCTCGTGGTTTCCAACCACTATTTCTTCTGTCAATAAGATTTTGTATTAAGAACCGTATACGCATAGAAAGATTTCTGTTCTCTTGAAGCTTTCTAAGAATTTCCCACAGTGATGCCTGCGCTTGTGGATGTTTTTCCTCATACAATTTCCCTACAACTTCCAAGAGATTAACGACCACCTCAAGATCCATATCATTGGCAGCGTTTCCAATGAGTTTTTCAGATAAAATGCGATCGATAATCCTTTGCGTAATAAGTCCTTTAAGAAATAATTCACCTGCAAACTTAATGTTATTTACATTTCGTTTTCGTAATTTCTCTGCTTCTTCCTCTGGTAATGTATCTATCACCTCTTTGGCCGCACTGTCAAACATCTGTTGACATCTTTCCACAATTGCCACTCGCACAACACTCTTCGCATCTCTTTGACCTTCTGGAATCTTACGAACCTCAAATTCATACTGGACAATGGTATAACACAATCGTGCATATAAACCAGCAAAAACAGGTTCCAATAATGCTTTTTCATAAATAAGTTGAACCACAGATGTCAATACTTCCGTTTCAAAAATAATATCCGGCGAAAGGGCTGATTTTACAATTAAATCAAAATTAGATTCAGTGAGTTTATTTAATGCACTTTGCATAGTGCGTACCGTACGTTCGGATGCCTCAATATGATCTCGTTCCTTTACTTTAAACCCGTTGCTGGTCATGACAAGTTTCTCTGGAACGACGGCTTTGACTTTGGCTTGTCGTGCGGCTTGTATAATACGCCCTAGTGAGAAATCATCCGTTAAGCGTTCACTCCATGTATCTCTGTACGCAAGAATATCTGCAATTGCCATAATGCGGGAGTTTCCAGCATACTTGGGATCATTACTCGTCACTCCACGTGGTTTGAAGAGCATGAATCTTCACGTTTACTACCCTTTTCTACACAACGTATATATATATATATAGATATATGAACATCAATACAGGAAAAAAGAAAACAAAAACAAATAATAAGGGGGAATATATATATATAATAGGAACGTATAAAAAGTTATTTAGAAATGTACAAAACATGAAAAATAATTCTTTAAAAAAAAAACAAGGAAAACAAAAGAAATATGTATACAGATCTATACGTATGTATGTATAAGGGAATTATTTTTCTTTTTTTTTTTCTTGATATTAATAATATATCTCTGCAGCTAATCTACACCATACTATTCATCTAAATTATATATAATTTCCTTAAAGCATGAGTCCATCACAAACACAACAGTACGGCCCCACCACGTAATCAAACAAACCACACCAAAGGCAACGACTCATCACTTCATTCTCTGCGAGAAAAGAAAGTGGAGTGAAAGTACGTCCTGAAAACACACTAATATGTAAACCATCTGAACAATCTTTACTAATTTCTTTCTTCTCACTACACACACCAGAGATAAGGGAAAGATTCAAAACAGATACTCCTTCTTTCCCACACATAGAACATGCAAATTTTGGTATTTCACTCTCTTCTTGTTTTTCTTGTTGTTGAGAGTTCCAATGATTCCCTACAGAGTCTATAAACTTCTCAAGTTTTTCTGTAAATACCTCTGAATTAATCCATCTTCGCCGTTTACGAGAACACTGTGCGTGATACAGCTTCACAAACTGAAAAGCCGCTTTAAACTGTAATTGTGTTATTTCGCTTGTCTCTTCTTTTAATATTCTTTTACAATCTGCAGGTTTAAAGCCGGCGTAGTGGACGGCAGCTGCTGCGATCTGCACAGCGTGGGCCAAAATGAGTTCCATACGTGTGAGATCATCTCTGCAGCGGCGTTGTATGCGTAGTAGTAACTGCCGCCACTCCGCCTGTTCCTCAGGAAAGCGAAGAAATAACTCCAAACCATATTCTAAACGTAAATCCATATATTTCTTCTGCAGGATATGAAGAATACCGTGAGGGGCAAACGACACCAGTGAAATATCTTCTTTTTCTTCCTCTTCTTCTTCTTCTTCTTCCTTCTCCTCTTTATTATTATTACTATTATTATTATTAGTAGTAGTAGTGGCTTTATCGGTTTCTCTTTTTCGTCTACCTCTTTGTATACTAGAATATGGATAATGAGTTTCATTATTCATCTCTTGATGAGTTCCCCGTGTAAGGGCACCGGCCACAGAACTCTCCGGCAATAAATCTTCCCAAATAAAGTACGATGTTGAAGTTTGTCGATCCCACAACTCATTCAACACATTATCCATTCTCTGACCAGCTGAACCATCATTATTCTCTATCATCATCATTGTTGTTGTTGTTGTTGTTGTTGTTGAAATCATCTCTGTATGTCCAGCAAAGGCTGAGAAACACTTTTGAAATTGCAGCATTCGGGAAAGAAATCCACCGGCACTATTCACAGGAACTGGGAAGAGTTGAAAGGGTGGATATCGTCGAGCTCCAAAGATAAATCCCACAACGGCTAAACTGCAGGATGGATGAATGGCGAGACCAGAAATTCCCAATGGAACATTCTTTGGAGAGGCAATTCCATCCATTTGGGCACATCGAAGAAGTTCAATACAGACTTTTCCAACAAAACCAAATAAACGACGTTGACAAACGGCAATAACACAATAGGAATCATCACCTCTACTATTACTATTACTACCAACACTATTATTATTATTACTGGTAGTTCTGGTAAGATAAGAAGAAGTCATTTTAGTATTCATCATTTCTAATGACATAAATGAATCAAGTGGTACTGCTATAAAGCGACGAACAACAATCTCATCATGGATGTCTTTTGTATCATTCCATACATCTCTTGTAGTCCATATTGCCTGTTGAGACTGAGCAACCTCACTGTTTTTACTAGACTCCGGTAGATCAATACTTCCATGTAAAATACACAAGGGAGCAGAAACGTATACACGTAGTATGGTATTCTCTTTACCAGAATTTTCCTTCATACAACACAAAGCTGCAGGAATACCACATAATAAAGGTACTTCCACATAATGAGTGAGAGATACATGAATAGTAGAAACAGTAAAGATACGAAGATAATATGGACTCGCTACTACAAGACGTGCATCACTATTATTATTATTATTATTATTATTATTATTATTATTATTATTATTATTATTATTATCATTCATACCACATCCAAGTACTCGTGTCGCACATGTTGGTACTAAAGATGACTCTGTATGATGATCATTAAAACGGTAAGCAGGTGAAGGAAACATACGATACTGTGTGGTTAATTCATCTGATGAATCATCATTCATATTAAGTAAATAAATACCACCTACTGTAACGACTACAAGGAGATCTTGTGGAAACCATTCATAACTTACTATAGCATATCCTGGTCCATCATATAATGGAGCTTGACCTCCATGAGGAGAGACTCCTTCTTTATTATTATTATTATTATTATTATTATTATTATTATTATTATTATCATTATTACCATCTACATTAGAATCAACTGTAGTAGCAGTATTAGATGGTGATGATGATACTCGTGCCTTTTTACGTGTTTTTTTCTCAATCACAGGAGTTTCTTCTTTATGAACGTTAGAAGCCGATTGCGGAATTAAACAAATTCCCTTACTTGTACGAAGTCTACCGGAACCACATCGAATTACTCGATATATAAATAAATCCCTTGTCGTTCGTACACATAATCGGCAACTTGCTGGATAAGCCTCTTCTGGAACTAGATCTAATGCCCATTTGGCACTCACAATACAAAATGGACTCGATGTATCCCCGCGGGTTTGATAAACCGGGCGAATAACCGCGTCTGGGGTAATAAGTCTCTTTACATGTAAATCTAAAGACCAATGAGTAGCGACAAAGAGAACATTATGTGGACTCCATCCAATAGAATCAGGACTATGCACACAGTTCCCACTCACAGGGGCACAATCACCCATATTAACAGAGAAACACGCCGCATGATTACCAGACATTGCAAAAGATGAAAGAATCAAAAGAAAAAAAAAAATGCTAATATCGTTCACTTATCTATGTTGTTATTGTTGTTGTTGATATTGTTGTTGTTTTCTATTTTTGAGAGCTTTCAAGTTTCGTTCCTCCTTATTGATTGTTCTCTTTTCTTTTTTAAGTACACAAGAATAACAAAAAAAAAAAAAAAAATTCTTCTTCACACTTCCCAATAGAAGTTTTCCCCTTTTTTTTTTGTACTATCTATACTAGTTCGCTTGCACCCTAGATGATTAAATACACAGAAAGAATGAAAAAAAAAAGAGAAAAGACCAATAATAAAAGCATCAAAAAAAAAGATAAATATATTCAAAACATTTCATAAAAACCAAAAAAAGGAACATTTCTTTTTTTCTTTTTTTTTTTATTTCTTTGTTGGTTTCAACTAGGGAAAAACATAAAAAAGTGTCATATACTCAGTTACATAGTTTCCATCCCTTCTTTCTTGAAGGGTTCCGGACTGACATCTCATCTGTTTCCTCTACCGTGATTCTTATTTCTAATTTTCCAGTTTCTTCCAGGAATCAAAAAAAAGCAAAATAAAAAAAAACACAAAACAGGCTAACACAACAAATTAAGGTATACATTGAAATACACAAGAGAGAGAAATAGATAGATAGATAAATAGATAGAGCGAAAAAAAAAAAACGCCCATAAACATAAAGATATATCTAAAGAAAGGAATCCATCCATATAATGAGTTTTTACTTCAATCAAGAAATTCCATTCAATATATATTTGGGAGTAAGTTCGGTGTGTGTGCTTGCGGTTGCACGGTAGCAGGTTTCTGTGGTAAAAACCGCACGGAATCCACTCCACTATTTCCTGTAGTGTTTGCACCTTGAACTGCCGGTAGTGTTGGGTAGCCATCCTCTGTAGCCGAGTGAGAACTCTTTACATCAGTTTTATTGGTTCCAACTAATACGGCTGCGGCTGCTGCTGCTGCTGCTGCGGGGCTTTGTGTTTCTGCTACGGCGGCTGGTGCGTTTTGTATTTTATCTGCATTGGCGCGATTGAGGCCACTGCGTTTCTCTGGAGGTGCGGGTGGTCGTGAGCGGCGAATGTAATCATCATAAGCGTCGAGATCTCGTCGTAAAGGTCCTGCGAGTCCATTCTTTTCTACAATAGATCGAAGTTCATAAAAGAGTGGATTCATCAATTGTCGCATCTTTTCTTGTTGTTGAATACGACGTGCATATTGTTCATTTTGATCTGCCAACATCTTTTCTTTATAACTTTCCATGATATTAGACTCCACCTTCATAGAGGCAATGGTATCATTTAGTAAAACTACCTTTTCTCGTTGTTGTTGTAAATCCCGTCGAAGTTCATCATTCGCCTCACGAAGTGATTTATAAGAAGAATCTCCCAATGCACATTCAAACCTTTCAATTGTTCGTTTTGCCGCATTTAATTCCAAACGAAGTTCACGGGCTTCACATTTCAACGCCTTTTCCATCTCATCTCGTTCACGGCGTCTCATCGTTAATTGTTTCTCAAGATCCGCTACATTATGTTTAAGCGATTGAACTTCATTTTCAGCATCCTCTGCACGTTTGGTCTCCGCATCATGTGATTTCTGAAGAGTTTTTAATTGTTTCTCTGCTTTGGTTTTTAATTCCATCAATTCATTACTGATCTCTTGTACATGTTGAACATGTTCTCGGCCTCGTTGGGAAAGTTTCTCGGTAAGATCTTCTACTTTCGCCTTTAAGGTTTCCTTCTCGGCGTTAAGGAAAATAGAATTTTCCACAAATTCCTTTTCTCGACCAGCATACTTTACCGTTACTCGTTGAAGTTCCTCATGTAAATGATCATGATTAGCAGTCATGCGAAGAAGTTTCTCCATAAGATCCTTCTCCAGTTTTTCCTTTTCTTTCTTTAATTCTTCTGCTTGAGTTCGAAATCCATCACGGGCGGCACATACAGACATGAGTTCATCTCGCATCTTGCGAGAATTTTCTTCTGTTGTTTGCTGAAGTGTTTTCTTTTCTTCTTGCAATCTTTCTGTAGTGGCTCGTAATACCGCTATGGTTTCAAAGGATTCTCGTTCATTCTTCTCAGAACTTTCTTGTAATTTACGTAAACGCGTCTTTAGACTTTCAATCTCCGCTCGTAGGAGTGCCTTCGTTGTATAGGCCTCATCTCCAGCCACACGTAATTCTTCTGTAGTCTTTGCCAAATCTTTTTTCAATTGTTCCACTTCTCCTTTAAGGGCAACATTTACTTGAAAATCATACTGTTCACGTTCCATAGACTTTGTACGGAGGGAATCCAGTTGTTCCTTTACTTCTGCCAATTCCGTATTAACAGAGGCGAGTGTTTTTGTGAGTTCCTCCACTTGTGCGGTATGAACTCCAATCTCAAGTGTGAGTTGTCGTCTTTCCACTGTAGACTCTGCATGTGCTAAATCCAAATCATGATAAAGAGATTTGGTTTTCTCCCGTTCACTGTCCAGTAATGCCTGTACGGCTTCCAATTGATTCCGTCGATCTGTAGCGGTATTATGTAATCGCTTACACTCATCTCGTGCAGCTTCCAACTGTGAGTTTAAAAGGCTAATGAGAACACTGCCCTTTTCATCATCTCGACCTTTACGTTCAAGTTCTGCTTGTAATAAACGTGCCGTCTCACGGTGTTTCTCCACTTCTTCATTTAATACCTTCAGTAATAGTGCAGTCTCAGCATCTGTACTCTGTGGATGTACACTGACGAGTTGCGTATCCGGAGATCCTGCAAAGGTTGCTTGCAGTGAAGTAAGTTGTTGTTCAGTTTCCTCATAAGATCGCTTTAAACATTCCAAATCCACTTTTAATTGATGTTGTGTCTCTACAGACTCATCTCGTTGTTGTTCGACTTGCCGCAATCGAGCCCGGGCCTCACGGTCCTTCTCATCCATTAATGTTTCCATCTCCACCTGCTTCATCTGTGCAAGTTCCAGTTCATTATTCACCATCGCTAGTCGTCTTAGGGCGGAATCACGTTCCTGTTGAATGGTGTTCACACCCTGTTGTAATCCATTTAATTTCGCCCGCAGTTCCCGCACTTCACATTCACGCCGTTCGAGTCCATCACGGAATTCCTGTTCACGTACTTCAAATGATAATCGAAGTTCACGTTCTGTAATGGCACGTTGAATATCCATTTGTCGTTGACGATGGGCATCCATAGATCGAGTCCATTCTTCTTCAAGCCGTTGTCGAGCCTCACTTTCGAGTTTACGCAGTCGTTCCTGTTCTTCCGCGAGGCGTCGCAATTCCGCCTGCCGTGCGGCCTCCGCCCGTTCCGCTTCCGAAACACCCGTTCGTTTCTTCGCCGGCATTATAATTTATAGGATTGATTAACTTCTCCTTCCCAGACGTGCAACCTCTTCACTATATATATATATATAGGTATATATATAAATATATTAGCTATATAAATATATACCTATATATATATATATAGGTATATATAATATATAACTGGGTGTGTGCTTCTTGTTGTGTGGAGGATTCTACACAGAACTAATAAATAAATAATAAATAGAGAGAGAGAGAGAGAGAGAGAAAAGGAGAAGAAATACATATATTGTAAATAGTTTGTGGTGGTATTGTGAAGAAAGTAAATAGATATTGAAAACAATCCAATGTCTATCTCATTATAACGGCATAGACACAAACATAAAAGAAAAAAAAAAGTAAAAAAAAATATAAATATAACAAGAAGTATTAACTAAATTAAATTTAAAAAAAAAACCACTTTCCCCCCACACACTCTAGTACGAAAAAAAAGAAAAAAAAATAATAATAATACCCCAATAAGAACATAATTAAAAAAAAAAAAAATTAATAAATAAACGTTTACCTTATGGTACCTGTGAAGTCTTTGTCGTTCTTATCATTCTGTATGTATGCAGTTGCTTGTGAGCCCCAGTATACGGCAGCATAGGGCAAATACACGCAACCAGAGAACGACAGCGTTTGGCCAATAGACGCCCAGTTGAACGTACATCTACACATGCAGCCGTTGATCGTTCCACAGATGCCCACAGTAAACGTGCTGTACTTAACGCCAATGCAATTTCTTTCATATTATTCTCTTCTTTTTCTTTTTGGTTTTGTTGTTGTTGTAGAGGTGGTGGCGGTTCCAAAGATGCATTCTTTGATGGATGAAATGCTGAAATCATATTTCTTTTCTTCTCCTCTATCAAATGAGGATAAATTTTACTCTGTTGATTCCTCTGCAGTTGTCGTTTTCGCCGTTTGCGGCTGAAGGCTATTGCCCATCTTCGCACCGCATGGGCCAATTCCCGTGGAGTGACGAAGAAGGCTGAAAATAAATGCGGGCCAATAGAAGTAGAGGAGGCCACACTACTGCTGTTGTCTGCCGTGTGAAGAGATCGACCGGTGGGGTGATAGCGTCGCCACCAGGGCTTTGGACCGAGTTGTTGTTGAATGGATTGAGGAGAGACATGATGGGTTTCATTATGTGTATGTTTGGCTTTTTTCTTCCTTTTATTATTTTTATTATTATTGGGATTCAGGTTGCTCTTTCCATTCGGTATGTGATGAGAAATAAGGTGTCGTTGATTACCGGTCTGTTCGTCTTTAGAGGCTTCTTGATTTAATCGAAGCAATGAACGAGACATGAACTAATCAAATGTGTATAAAGATGAATATATATATATATATATATATATATATATATATAAACAAGGTTAATAGTGTTGTTATTATTTAGGTTAAAGGAAAGAGAAAAAGAAAGAAAGTAATTAAAGCAAATAATTAACACCAGAAAAGACCATAAATAAATAAAAAAAAACACAGATACTGAGAAAAAAAAATCCTCAAGCAGAGGAGATAGTTGTATTCAAATGCAAAAACAAAATAAAAAATCTCTTTCTTTTTTCTTTCTTCTTTTCCTTCTTTTTTTTTTTTTTTCATTCTATTTTCGCTGAAGAACAATGATATTAATATACTCAGCTGAAAAGCTGTATGTATACATTACTCTCTTACCCAGGACTCACTTGCATTTGTTCTGTAATATGCATAAATTGATAGTTCTGGAAAAAGACAGTAAAAGGGAAGAAAGAACAGAAATAATACAAAAAAAGGAAGAAAAATAAGAAAAAAGCAAACGCATAAAAACAGAAAAAAAAAAATTTTTGGAAAAGCTACAAATAAAGAAATGAGGATGAGAAAAATAAAGAGAAAGAAAGGGGAAAAGATTACAATAAAAAATAAAGAGATCCACATATCTCTGTTACTGCTGTAGATCTTCTTTTCCTCCTTTCTCCTCTTTCTCATCCTCAATTTCTCTCTTTTTTTTTTTTTTCTTTCTTTCTTTCTTTCTGCATATCTCTCTTTCCATATGTACAAATGTACCATTTTCTCTTTGTTTTTCTAAAGTTTAAAAAGATAATGGCAAGTGTATGGAATAAAGAAAGATAATAAAGATTCCGTGTCTATGTAGAGCGATTCTGCTAAAAATGCATATCGTCTTTGGGATGCCCATTAGGGCAGAATGGGAACTAAACAATAAATATAAATAAAAATAAATATATTTATTTATTTATTTATTTATTTATTTATTGTTATTATCGCCGAAAACTGTTGCTCAATACGGCCTCCACTTGGGCAAGAATGCCTGTATGATCTACCACGAAGGGTTCGGCTGTACCGTCTGCAAGTACATAATACTTCTGTCCTACATTATGCCGACGATCACTCTGCCAGCGAATATCCATAAGTGCATTACAAACCACCTGTGATCGAAGATTAGAGAGACGAAATAGTGTAAAAGACCCAGATGGATCAGGGAAAACTTTTCTCACATAAACAAACTTTGTATCTGTAGGTACAGAACTTCTTTCACGCTGATGAATATAAGCAGCATGAACAGCAGCTGGAGTTAATCCTTCTGCTCGAAGTCGTGCGATTTCCTTTACAAACCCCATAATACTATCAAGAACTCCACCAAGATAACGTTGGGCTTCTGTGATCCCTAATAAACGTACATCTTCATCATAAAATGTCTGTACATGTGGGTGCGGTTGACTACGGTTTGTACTTTCATTATTCATACAAGGTACATATAAAACCAATTTGGAGTGTACATCTACAACAGCAGTACCAACTCCAGCTTCTGTTGGAAATACAGCACCATATCTTCCAGGTTGTACGCAATAGTACATTACCACAGTCTCTTCATTTGTAAAGGAGTAAAAACGTATCCATCCACCACTTAGAAATTCATCTACAAAACGTTGACGATTTTGTTCCTCACGTGGAAGTGCCAAAAAAGCGTTACTGCTCCCACAACCTGCAGAAGCAAGAATACCACCACCTGCACCTCCAACTCCACCAGGTTGTGGTAAAGGTCGAGAAGGTTGACGTGGAACAGGAAAATTTGCTGGTGGTGGTACAGGACGTGGAGTATTCTGAGGCATTCCAGGTCCTTTGCGTGGTAAAGGAGGTCCTCCACGCATAGTCATTCCACTAGCCGAAGGTTGTCGAGTTTGTTGTGGCATTGGTTGTTGTTGTTGTTGTTGTTGTTGTTGTTGTGGTTGTTGTTGTAATGGGGCAGTAGAGGTGACAGTTCGAGTTACTGGCATCATTGGTTGTTGAACTATTTTGGTTGTCGTTGTCGTTGTTGTTGTATTAGAAGTAATAGTTGATGATGCCGTAGTTACTGGACGACTTGATGAAGCACTTCGAGGAACTCGAGGTTGTTTTTGCATCTCTTGTGGTTGTACGGCAGCGTCTGCTCGAATCATAATAACATTATGACCTGTTGGTGGTGGTTGTTGTTGTAAACTAGCTTCTCTTGCAGCTCGATGTTGTGCAGCTATACCAACAATATTACCTTTTTCATTATATCTATAGGGAGAAGCACTAACTCCTCTCTCCTGTTGTCTTTCTGAACGTCCCTTTTTCATGGGTGGGGTATCCACTTCTATAATATCTTTTAATTCTGCTGAATTTCGTGGTTGAACTCTCTCTTCCTTCTTCTGACGTGAAAGGCGAATCTCAGGAGGCAGTTCAAAGGAAAAGCTAGCTCCATTATCACTACTCTTATTATTATTATTATTCTTATCATTATTACGTCCACCATATGTTGCCTTTCCATTTCCTTCTTCTTCTTCTTCTGCTCCTCCTCCTCTGCGACTCCCACTCCCCCGCTCTACTGTAGACCGTCGGCTGGCGGGCCACTCCGGCATCTCTGGAAACATCGCGTCGCGGTGCTTGACGACCATCGCGCCGACATCCTCCGGCGAGGGGACGTGGCGGTCGCCGACGCTAATCCTCCCGCCCGACGAGGCGCGGCCGCTGGTGGAACTCCGCCCGGAGGGTCGACCCCCGCGCCGCGAACTCCCACCCGCCGCCGGCTCCTCGTCGGGCAGTCGAATGTCGAGGAGACTCCGCCGCCCCCCCACCTCCAGCAGCGTCCCCCGGCCTTCGCCCGCCTTGTCCTTCTCGGGATCCTCCCAGAGAAGCGTGTCCATGCGGGCGGAGCGGCGGGGGGAGGGGCTCCAACTGGGGCCGCGGCACTGCAGCGTGTGGGAGCGAAGCTTCGCCGCGGAGGTGAATTTCTTCGCACACGAGACACAGACAAAGTTCACATCTTTTAGACGACCCTGATAGGCACACTTCATACAGAGATCATAATCACATTTATAGCAGCGGAAAGCAGGGGTTTCAGGAGTTATTTTTAATATTTCTCGATCACAGACATTGCAATCAAATCCATTGTATCCATGAGGCATAGAAGTAAGTTTCGTCATAATATGATGATTCATACATTTAAATTGTTCAATTTCACTATTTAATTCACGAGGAAGTGAAATTACCGGTCGTAGTGACCAACGTGTAGAAGTTTCTCGTCCTGGATAAACAACAGCGTATTTATCAGGTGAAGCACGAACTATTCGTCCATCTTCTTCTTCATCTCGTGTAGGTGCCACTAACATTACACTGGATTCTCTACGTGAACGTGAGGCTCTAATTCCACCTGCTTCATTCATTCCTTTTACTCCTCCTCCTGCTGTTGTTGTTGTGGTTGATGATGATGTTACAAGTGTTTCACTTCCACCACGTCGTTGTCGACGTGATAACATTTGACTTTTAATAATCATACGATATCTTTCTTCATCTTCTTTAATACTTTTTCTACAATCAACCTCAGCTCGTAATAATTTTAGTAATTCTACTATAACATGAAGAGTTTCATGATGTTCTAAAACAAGTTGGGCACGGGCTCGCTGTTCTGTAAGTGCTACTCGACGTAATCCTTCTGTAAGAACATCATCCACAGTTTTCTTCGCATTCGGTAGAGGAAGATTATCTGCCACACGACTGAGAGAACGACGTGTTGAACCATATCGTCCTCCTTGTAAAGATCTCTCCAAGAGATTTAATTTATGTAAAAGTGAAAGTGGACAAGAGAGTGGACGCCTACTCCAAACAGGATGTTGTAATATTTCTTGTAATGTTGCTCGTTTAGAAGGTTCACGGTGCATGGTACGATTGACAATTTCACACAACTCCTCATCTCCTGTCCAATCTGCAGGCCAACTCCAAGAAGCACCGGCTACACAATTAAAAAGAGCAAGTGTTTTTTGTGTTTTATCCATATCTCTTGTTCCTTCCTTTTCCATAGCTTGAATATATGGATTCATACGAGTTAGCATAACATATAATACCACACCTATACTCCATGTATCGACTTCTTTTCCATACTGAAGAGAGTGTTGAGAATCATCACTTACCATGCGTTTGTATACCGCTTCTGCAATCTCTGGAGCCATATACATAGCCGTTCCTGCTACTGTTTTACGTGGTTGAGCTTCTGCAATACGACTTGAAAGACCAAAATCTGTTATTTTAAGATTTCCATCAAAGTCAAAGAGGAGATTTTGAGGTTTTAAATCACGATGAATACATCCTTTAGAATGTAAAAAAGCGATGGTATCCACAAGAGCCCATCCAACCCAAAGAATCTCCTGAACATCTAATCCATGTTGGGCAATCACATCATGTAAAGATCGACTAGCACAACACTCCATCACAACATACGCCCGTTCCTCATCACGACCTGCAGCGATAAATTTTACAACATTTGGATGTTTTGCAAAGTGATTCATAAGAGCAACTTCTTTACGAAGACGCGACCAATCACTTTCTGTCATTTTTTTCGCAGATGCTTTTAATGCATAGAGTTCACCGCTATTGGAACGTGCCGCATAAACTCGACCGAATCCACCTTTTCCAAGTAAACTTGTCGTTGTCAGTTGTAATCCTTCTTCCTCAAAGGTAACAGTCATTAGTTCTAACGGTTGTTGTTGTTGTTGTTGTTGTTGATATTGCTCGTTCTGATTATCCATACTGCCTCTGTGTACATAACACTTCTGAATAAATGGTGTTTGTACTGTAGGTGAGAGACCAGCAATAGTGGGAGTGTGTGAAAGTTCACGCGGCATAGAGACCATTCCACGTGAAGGGGTTTGTTCATTTCTTTCTTTTCCTCCATTCTCATGAGGCCAACTGGTTGTACGAGAGGCCATCGTTTATAATTTCACACCTTCTTCTTTTTCTTTTTCTTCTTCTTGTTGATATTCGCCTTCTGCCTTCTTTTCTCTTCTCTTATCTCTTTTCTTTTCTTTGTTAATAAACAGTACACAGACACGTCACACGATTTAAGGTGACAATAACACAGTAAAAAAAAAGTAATTAATAATAACAATAAATAATAAAGGGAGTTTTTCTCTTGCTCCTTTCTCTCTTCCTGTGTTTCCTTCACAATCGGTTCTAAAGATACGGTGGTGGTAGTAGTAGGAATAGTAACGGCAACTGTAAAAAGAAAGAAAAAAAAAAATAGATTGGGTAACACACGGATTGTGTTTTTTTTTTTTTTTTTTTTTTTGACCTTCTACTGTAATCCTACTTCTTCTGAAAGACTTATCTCCTTTTTTTTTTTTCTTCTGTTGTTGTCCTTGTCTTTTGTCTAAATTTCTTGCTTCTTGTATTTATCACAACCTCTAGTCCTCAGCAAACAGGGATATATATATATATATATATATTCCCTTTTCTTGTTTATTGTAGTGAAGTTGTTTCTTTTTCTTTTTTGTGGGAAGGTTACTATCCTATTTCCTTGTGGATCTATGTATATAGCAAGAAAATATAACTATGTGTGTTTGTATGTGTATATATGTGTGTGTATATATATTTATATGTATATATGTATATGAATGTATGCGTAGGTGTATTTCCTTCCCTGTTCGCCCTGCAACTCTCTGCAGTGACACACACACACACACACACAGACAGACAGACAGACACGCACGCGCACTCACGCACGCACTTTTCTCTATTTTTAATATATATATACGTGTGTATAAGGAGAGAAGAAAAGAGAAAAAAAGAGAGAATGGAAAAAAAAAAGAAACATAAAAGGAAGAATGTGATCAATGAAAATGCAGTAAACATATTGGAGAATACGCAAAACAAGAAAAAAAGGACAGAGTATAAATAACAAGTAATACCACAAGAATAGACAGAACTTCAATGAGAGAATAATATTTTTAAAAAAAAAAGAAAAAAAAAAGAAGAAACACCAACACAACCAAAAGGAATTGTATCGTAACACAGCCAATGTTTTTTTTTTCCTTTTCTTCTTCTTATTTCCCCCAAAAATTCCTTTCGTTCTTTCTCTCTCTCTCTTCATATGTCTAAACGATTTATTTCCACTTGGTTAACAAAATCCATGTATATATATATATATATAAAGAAACCATTTTTTTTTTCTTTTTTACAGAGGTTTTGGCTCCCCACGCTCTGCTAAAGACCCTTCTTTTTCTTCCTCTACTTCTTGTTCCTTCTTTTCTTTTAATATTTCCTTCACATCATCTTGTGGTTGTTTAGCTTTAATGGCATCTATTTTCACGGCTGTATGAATACAGGCAATCCCACCAGTAAGATTCTCATACCGCACATATCCAAATCCCGCTTCCTTTATCATCTCTGCAAAGGTTTCCTGATCGGGGAATGCCCGAATACTATCCACGAGATATTGATAACTTTCTTTATCTGCCAACATTCGTCCAGCTTGAGGAATAAACCCGTAGGACCAAACATCATACGGTACAGATAATAATGGACAGTTTACTTTACTGAACTCCAATACATTTAATACCCCACCCACCTTCAATACTCGATAGGCCTCTCGTAATGCCTTTGGACGATCACTGAAATTACGAATCCCAAAGGAAACGGTATAGCTATCAAACTGCATATCCTCAAAGGGAAGTTCCTCACCACTGCCCACTATCCAATGAATTCCATTATATCCCTCTCGCTTTGCCCGTTCTTCCCCTTCACGCAACATAGACTCATTAATATCCAATACCGTTATCTCTGTGCGATGAGAAGATACCGTTGTTGTTGTTTCTGGGGCAAGACCAAAGTGTTTCTCCACCCCGCGAATCTCATCCATAATACGAAAGGCAATATCACCGGTTCCCCCGGCAACATCGAGGAATTTACCGCCGGGCCGTGGACGAACACATTCCTTCACAAAGTGACGCTTCCACACACGATGAACACCGAGGGAGAGAACATCATTCATCATATCATACTTGGAAGCCACCTTGTCAAAGACTTTCTTTACATAGGCATCACCAAGCCCCATATTCCGGCATAATGAACTAGAACGTAACATAATAGAGATTATACTTTCTCTTTCTCTTTTTCTCTCTCTAAATAAAATAAAATAGAAAAATGAAATAAATAAGCGATAACAGAGAATTATCAGAATGAAACATAATACCACTAGAGTGAATATAAATTTAACTCTACATATATTAATATATTGGAGAGAGAGAGTACTTTTTTTTTTTTTTTTTTTATTT